GGAATTGCTGCCTCTAACAAAAGAAAAGTACATTTCATTCAAGAAATCTATTCCACAAACAAAAGTCAATCTAAGATTTATTGATTCATTTAGATTTATGGCTAGTAGCCTGGAAAAATTGGCCTCCTACTTGACTGATGAAGACAAGACAATTACACGAGCTCATTGCAACGCTGAGCAATTCCATTTGTTAATGCGTAAAGATGTATTCCCATGTGAATATTTGGATAATTGGGATAGATTGAATGATGGAGAATTACCGTCGAGGGCGGCTTTTTATTCCACACTAAACAATCATGAAATTTCAGCGGAAGATTATGCTCATGCGCAGGAAGTTTGGAAAAAATTTAATATTACAACACTTGGCGAATATTCCGACCTCTACTTTAAAACTGATATTCTCCTCTTAGCTGACATTTTTGAGAATTTCCGAAAAAGTTGTTTCTCAGTCTACAAACTCGACCCTCTGCACTACTATACCGCACCTGGGCTGGCATTCGATGCAATGCTAAAATGCATCGGAGTGGAAATCGAATTTTTTACAGATGCTGATAAGCTCTTATTCATTGAAAAGGGGATCCGAGGTGGTGTAGCTCAATGTACAAATCGCTATGCTCATGCCAACAATCGGTATATGGGTGAGAATTATAATCCAAACGAAGAGGAGTCCTATCTCATGTACTTTGATGTCAACAATTTATATGGGGCAGCCGTGAGTCAGTACTTGCCCTTTGGTGCATTTGAGTGGGAAAATGTCGAAGGATTCAATATCTTCAATATTCCCGATGATTCACTCGTTGGATATATCTTAGAACTGGATTTGGAATATCCTAAAGAGCTACTTTATGTACACAAGGACTTGCCGCTATGTCCCGAGCATTTTATGCCACCGAATGGGAAGAATAAGAATAAGCTCATGCCAACACCCTACGATAAAAAAGACTATATAATTCATTATCGGAATTTGAAGCAATGTCTGAGTCTTGGTATGCGATTAACGGAAATCCACCGAATCTTAAAATTCAAGCAAGCAGCATGGCTCAAGCCCTACATCGACTTAAATACAGAGATGCGAACAAAATCGACAAATGAATTTGAAAATAATTTTTTCAAGCTAATGAACAACGCAGTTTTCGGAAAAACGATGGATAATGTGAGAAAGCACAGGGATGTCAAGTTGATCACCAAGTGGGATGCAAGATATGGCGCGAGAGCCTACAATGCCCAACCAAATTTCCACAGTAGTCTAATTTTTGACGATAATATGACGATCATTGAAAACAGCTGAAAACAGTTCAAATTATATTCAATAAACCAATCTACATTGGATTCGCCAATTTGGACTTGTCAAAAATTTCCATCTACGATTTCCATTATAATTATGTGAAACGTGAATTTGGAGAGCGATCTAAATTAATGTACACAGACACAGATAGCCTTCTGTATCAGTTCAATGTTCCCGACATTTATGACTTCATCAAATGAGATATTTCGAAATTTCGCACTTCCGACTACCCAGCAGAGAATGTTTATCAAATACCAAGAGTGAATATAAAAGTGATAGGTTTAATGATGGATGAATGTAATGGTAAAATTATGACTGATTTTGTGGGCCTGCGTGCCAAGCTTATACTTTCAAGGTGTTGGGTGATGCGCGAAAGAAAAAACGGACTAAGGGTGTGAGAGCGGCAGCACTGAGAACAATTACTTTTGAAGACTATAAAAACTGTCTCTTTCAGCAGAAGAAACTGGTGAAATCACAATATTTGATTCAAAGTGAAAAACATCAAGTTTACACGGTGAAACAGAACAAGTTAGCACTGAGTTATGATGATGATAAGAGAATTGTTTCACTTGATTCAACAGACACTGTGCCTTATGGTTACAATGAATATAGGACACAAATATTTTCCAAATAATGTTTTTCTTTATTATAAAATTACATTTGATTAGAGTCTATCCAACTGTTGTGAGTATTATCAAATCCCAGCCACTTGAAATATTCCTTCTTTCCCCGCCTCTTCAGCACCTTCTCAACGAGAAACACATCTGGATACATGACGTGACTCAACTGCTCTTGGTAGAAGCCACCTTCAATTGCATCATCTTTTCCATCAACCAGCTTATATGTTACGGGATTGGTATTTTGCACTTTTTTAATTGTAAATATTTCAGTTGTCCAGTTGGGGGTATAGCCTTTTTCGAAAACAGTTTCATACTTGCTGATTCGCACTTTATCACCCACTTTGAATTTAATTTTCCCCTTCTTATCCTCTCGTACGTTTCCATAAATTGATTTCAGCAACGATTTTTCATTTTTGGATGTAACATCTTTAAGGAAGGCTTCATTTTTATTGTACGATGTTTCGTGTTATTATAGTCTGCAACTGAATCACCAACAGTATCAATCCATTTGTACGTTCCACGTATTGAGAATTGTTTCCACATTTTATTTTTCAATGTTCTATTGAAGCGTTCGCATATCGATGCCTTGAGGCTGCTGAAGGTTGAGTACATATGTATCTCATGCTCCTCCATGAGAGCTTGAAAATTTTTATTGTAAAACTCTTTGCCTTGATCAACATGGAGTTTTTTTGGAATACGCCCCTCTTGCAAAATGAGATTCATGGCATCCACAACGTCATTAGCACTTTTTGATTTAATGGGAATGGCCCAAGCATACTTGGAGAAAATATCAATTACTGTTAGAAGATAGCGGTAATTTTTGTTACTGTGTGCATATTTGATCATATCCACGAGATCAGCCTGCCACGTTTCATCCCGCCCTCGAATCTCAACGCGTCTTTTTGGGTACTTTCGTCGAGCCGGGCGATGAAGTCCCGCTGCTATTGTTCGCCTCTTGGACTCCATTTTCTTGTTTATTAATTTTAGGAATTGCACGTTCGTGAAGTCCTATTTTTTTCTCGACTCTCACAAAACGCTTAGTGAATGCACTTTTCAAATCCCTGATGTTTCTCTCTTGGGCTTCCAATTTCTGCACAACTTTATCACGTTTAGCTTTCAGACGTTTATGCAAAATATGCAGCGAAACAGCATCAAAATCCACTACTGGATCAACAATGTGGCATAACCTCTTTCCTTCTAAACTATAATTCCCTTCAGCAGTAGGTGTAAATCCATCACCTGGCGGACCTCCTTTTCCAACAGTGGTGAGCTTGCTGCTGTGTGATAATGGTCGTCCAAACACATCGACACTCATGATGAGAATGAGATAATTCACGCGAGTGTAAACTTTAATATATAATTTCAGCTTCACGTCGTTCTTCGATAATGGAGAGAATTTCATTGGAATGATTGGGATTACCGGCAGCTTGAGATGTCATGAGCAAGTGGAGTCTATCCACCAATTCATTTGGATTATCCCAGTAAATATAATCCATTCTCCTGGACATTGTCCTTGGAGCCACCATAAGCTCTGGTATTAGCCCTTTACCGCTCTTTTCATACGGTCTAATTAGAGGTTCAATGATATTCAAAAATTTTTCCGTAGAATTTTTGCGTCTCACTGCCTTATTTCGATCATAGTACAATCGATGTGCATTCGTAAGGCGCAGAATTTCACCATAGTGCATTTGATCTGTTGATGTCACATTAGCGGTTTCTGGATCTCTATGGAATATCAAAGATGCCAAACCTGAAGTTAAGCGAAACTGCTTGTCACCAATAGTCACTGTATCTCCATTGAAGATCACCTCAGTATTTCCCATTTTCCATTGGTCATCCACTCTTCGAACTCCATATTGTTTATCCAAATGTTTTTCTTCTTTTGTGTCGAACATGTCAAGATACGACTGGAGAATGTTCCTAACATCCGATTGAGCGGCTGATTCATCAGCTGCGTCTGCGAGCACTGAAGCCACCGCATTCTTGGAATCGTCGTGTTGACTGCTAAACGGTTCAGAAGTACTTGTTGTTGTAATTTCCTGTTTATAATCATTCACTCCTCCCACCTCCAACACCTCTTTTTTCATAATAATATTTTCATTTCTTTTTTTCTTCGTTTTCTTCTTCTGAATGGCACCTTGAGCAATCAATTTTTCAAGAGGAGTAATTACAGGTTTCAAGGCCTCATTCATAGCTCGTTCGACCGTATCTTCGCCCATCTTTAATCTTTGATATTTATGACGAATTGCTTTGCTTGCCTCAGCAATGTGATGCAATACATCAGACTCGTCTTGCAAGACTGATCGCCGCATGTTGAAGGTTTGACGTTCAATTCGACACTGTCTCGAGTGCCAATCATCAGCTTGTTTTTATACATACAAAACAATCAAATCCTCGTCCATAGCGTCCCTCATGCAGTTCACAGTCTTTGTTGATGCTGATGAAGCCATGTTTATAATTATTCCAACAAGCAGCGCACAAATCTTTGAACTCTGGGTATGGCATGTCTGTATTAACATGATCCTGATAAATGTGTTTCAAATTCATTTCATCCTGACGGAAGAGAATGAGTAACTTTGTATTATCACGTATCAAGTGTTTTAGAATACGTGCATAGGTCTGACAGAGATAAAAGCAGTCTACACTTTGATGGCGACCCATGCAAAAGAATGCACGCATATTATCTTGTTTTTCACAAGCGACATCATCAAATATCATAAGAGAATTTGGATGAGTTTCCTCGGGACTGACCACCTTCATGATCATTAAATCGAAAATAGCCAGTAACTTTCACTGTTGTCAATAATTTTTTCAAAAATTGATATTTCGGTTGATTTCAGGACTTGGAGTAAACATAGACGTTTTGAAATCTCAGCTCATTAGGATGGGTAATTAAAGCAAACAGGCCATTCGTTTTCCCACAGTTTGAGGGTCCACAGATAATTGCACGTACGGTATTGGGTAAAAGTGGGCCATGACGATTCTTCTGTTTATCTTCCTTTTTCTCTGTTATCTTATCGAAATTCATCACTGGCAGCTTCGAACGTTGCTGCTTGAACTCCATCTTGACATCTGCTAGCAAGCTCCATAAATACATGACATTTATAGACTTGCACTTCAGTCTGCGCAAGAGCATGCTGGTGTGCAAACGTCTTAGAACGCGGAAGGGTAAAAGAATTGTCAACGATATCATCAACAAGTTACCCATTGAATTGCATATACCGGGCTACCAGTATTGTGGGCCGAATACCAAGTTGGCTAGACGATTAGCACGCGGTGATCCTGGGTTGAATCAATTGGATAAAGCGTGTAAAGAGCACGATATAGCATATTCAAAAATAGAGAAAATTTGACAGCTAGACACACCGCTGATAAAATTCTGGAAGATAAAGCTCTGCACAGGGCTTCTGCTAAAGACGCTAGTGTTGGTGAGAAGGCGGCTGCTTGGAGTGTGAGTAACCTCATGAAGATGGAAAAGGCTTCCTTCCACTGTTTATTAGCGACGGCGGATACATCTGTGAGTCCCGTGGAGGTCACGCCCCCCGTGGTCCCGATGCCCTTACACACGTCACTCGTAGTCCTAGTCATAATGGAGACCGAGCGGGCCACCTCCAAGATACCGCAATCACTGGATAGAGACGCCAGCGAGCCTGCTGTCGCACTCTCGGACGCCTGTGCTCGGGTATCCCTCCCCTGCACCGTAAACGAGGCTGGTTTTATTAAATCAATGTCCATCATGAAGAGCGTGTTTGATCCGCGGGAACTCAGCGACTTCGTCCTCATCCTTTCTCCGCCGAGAGAGAGAAAGAGCTTTCCCGTATCCGCCACCCAGGGACGCGCCGTATAGTAGTATCACCTCTGCGTACGGACCCCAATTGCGTGAAGCCCAGTGTAGTCAGGGTAGGAGTAGCAACGTGCACGATGTGGGCACTGTTAAACAGAGAGAGCGCTCCGCGTTTTCTTTTCACATTTAAAACACCTTATCGCCTAAAAATTTGAACATACTTTCACCAATTCAACGTGAAAAATCCTTAGTTGTTTCGGGAGTGATTGTTCAAACATCCTGGTGCCAGAAATTGATCATTTCTACGTTACCTTAATAGTGGATAATTATTTTATAAAAAATTGATCAAAATATGAGATGTCAGTTCTTTGAAATTCAATCAATAAATTATGAATGCTAGGTTTATTTTATCAGTTTTGCCTCCTCTTGGCTAGATCACAAATTCTCTATTTTCACTCAGCAGCTAATTATTTTTATGTTTGCTCGCAGTAATTATTCATTTTCGTGGTTAACTGTCCAGTTAATTTCAAATATTTAACACTGGGATCAATGTAATGAAAAAAATTCAACAAGATACCTAATAATAGAACTCAAATTCTTGTTCCCTTGAGCTTTCTCAAGGTCAAAAATCTTTTTAATTTGTTGGATACTGGTTAGGAAATATTCAAACAATATTAGTAGAAATTAAAAAATCTTTTTACCAGTGTTTTTCAGTTCTTTTGCTGCCGCAATATTCAATTCTGACTGATTTGTTCAACGGAATTTTATGCGGAAGTTAGATATTGAAAAAAATCATTAATTGATATTTTTTAACAATGCCAGATACAGCAAGAAATAGATTGATATTTTTAATTCAAAAATTCAAATTTTCAATCAACGATTGTAACGAGCATCGGGGATGCCCGTTAGTATCCCCAACAAAATTGATAAAAAGAGAGACCGTGCGAGGATAAAAATTTAGATAAGAGATAGAATAATAATTGATTTTCCCCTTTAGAGTGGGTCAGACATAAGTTAAATAGGTTGGGGTTAGTGGATATTAGCATTGTCCCCCTTTGTGGTGGTTTAGGGATTTTAGGGTTAAGGTTAGGGTCAAGCTCGAGGTCAGTTAGGTTCGGCCCAAAAGCCGACGCTCCAAATAAAAGGCTTCTTGGGGGTTAGTTGGTGCGGGTGGAAGGCCGTAGGGGGACACGAAAAATACCCCTACGGATTGCAAAGGGCTGTTACGGGTGGAAGGCCGCAGGGAGTAAATCCAGCCCTTACCACGGCGGATTGCCAAGAAGTAAAATACAATTACGGGTTAGTGAGTGAAAATATTACGGTTAGGGTTAGTGCTTAAGGTCTTCTAGCCCCACGAATCCAGGAGAATCGCCCGAGAGAATAATACCGCAAAAGGAGAAAATTTCGATAATCAGAATTAAGTCGAATTTGAATTAATTCTCCCGCGAAGGGCTTGGCACATAATAGGGTAGAGGGATCCACCAATCGACAACCGATCGATTGGTGGGCGTGATTTAGGGGGTTAGCGTCACGCGACACTGACCTCCGAAAATCAGTTACGCCTCGACCGTGGAAGAAGAAATACGCGAGTGAACACGTGAGTGGTACAGTTCACCACCGAGAACATCGCAGGACATCCGAGGACACCAGATTATACCCAGGATGGTCCAAAAGAGGAAGAGAAAGGCATTCAAGAGATCCACAGTGAGTTTACGGTTCATTTAGATATTTTCCCCTTTTTGGCCGCTCCACAATAATTGTTGGCTGTTATGAAAATTTTCCGAGCCATTGGGTGGTTTTTAGAGGTTTATGGGGGGATTTTCCGAATAATTTCGGTATGTATTTTCCCCCAGTGCGGTTGGGAGGTTATTGGTGCGATTTTGGGGGGTCTAAAGGTATTTTTTTACGACGGATGTTGGTGAACTTATTCACGACCAACGAAAAAGCCAGTGGTTCTCCCTCGTGGCGCCATCGAGGCAGCCATCGAGCGGCTATGTGCAACAGGTGGGCAATCGCGTATAAAATTTCCTCGTGGTTACTAATTGGCCCACGTGGTTAATTATGTACCCTTACGCATAAAATTTCGTGGGATTGTGGGGGATAGTGTCTCGAACAATATTGTTCAGGGTTTTCCGGGATTTGCTCAGCGGATCCCGAGTTTTGGAGTTTCTAAAGGAAGCTCAATGTATTGTGGTGGATTTCTCCTCGCTGCTAACCGAGCAGTGAGGCATAGTGCCGTCTCTCTCGCGCTCGATTTCTCTCTCTCTCTCTCTCTCTTGCGCTCACCCGTAGAGGGTCCGATTCCGGGAAATTATCGATTTTCCGGACGAAAATAATAATTCGTTTATTCCTCGGATTATCGACGATCGATAATCCTTGAGGCCGCATCCCGATGGGATTATTCTGTATGAATCAGGGACAATCAGCAATATATTTCGTGTTTTGTTAGGAGATTTATTGGTGAATATCGGGAACCGCTCCACCACGTCTGTCTCCACGATTCAACTCACACGTTGTGGTGGAGCGGTTCCCGATATTTACCGAGGGGATAAAAATGCAAATAAAATTTGGAAGTAGAGTATCTCAATATATCTTTTTATGATCAATTATTATCCTTGTATTGAATTTCGACTCTCCATAGCGGAACACGTAAGGACAATGTTTTTTTGTTGCATTACTTCATTTCTCGCCTCCTTTTTCCCTTTTTGTCACTTTTTCCGATTTTTCCAGTAACCTTAACCCCATCTACGATCCATCCGTCTCTCCACAACTGGCATAGTGAGCGACCCCAGGACCGTCACCTTTCCCCAAAACCCTAATTATCCTTTCCGTCTTCTTCAAGTTCCCCTTTTTAATTTTAGTGTATATTTTTGAGTTGGTATTTTAGGAGTTTGAGGTAAGATTTTCGATGCAACGAATATCCACGATTGTTAAGTGTAAAATTAAGGAATTTTCCGGTTTGGTAATCCCGGTCAAAAAATTACCTGGCGCCCATTGATTTAAATTTTAGCAGGCTTTATTAGGTAATGGGAATTTTCCATTCCCCGCGAAAATGTCACGTTACACGATATCCCCACTCTGACCCAAGCATCGTAGTCTCCCCCCGGACTCTACCGACTCACCGACTCTACCGACGACTACCTGCACAATACAATCAGACCCATTCTTTTATAGTCGTTGGCCTAATTAGGGTTAGGAGTTAGTTGAACCCATTGTACGCACTTTATCCATGCCTGCTCTAACCTAGGGGTGGGCAACCTCAGGTAGGCTCCGAGCCCATGTTGCCCTATAATTATTAAGGTTCCAATTATAAGGAACCTAACGTAATTCCAAAGGTTGTCGTACACTTGTATGGTGGGGGTAACTTTGGGAGATGGTGCATGCGCGTAATTGGAATGCAAGGGAAAAATAGTTTGAATTTTTATGGACGTGCTTGGACATTTTTCTTTATAATAAAAATGGATTTAAAAAATGATGATTTAGACTCAACATTCATCGGTGGAAATGGAAGTGGGATGCCGGTTGACTTGCTAGAGAAAAAATGAATCGTCCATTAAAGATTACAAGACGCCGATCATGTTTTTGATTATGAGAAATTTGTGCATTTTAATTTGGCATCGAGAGAGAGAAATATAGGAGAAATATAGAAGAAATATAGGAAGTGTGAGAAGGGATGTCGAGGCAGCTCTATTAACAGCATAAATATAATATTTGATAATTGTATTCCAAACAACATTTTCTCTTCAAGAAATCTCTGAAAGGTACCATTTTTTTTTAATATAAAGTCGGCTAAAAGCAACCAATAATCAATCAAAAGCATAACAAAAAAAACCATTCATTGAAAGAATTTTTTCATCAAAGAATTAGCATATCCCCACTACTCTTGCCTACGCGGAGAGGATCGTAAGCCCGGAGGGGCTGCAGCCATAGACTTTATGGCTTGGGACAATTTTTCCTAATGGAGGTCGAGAGTTGGAGTAGTTCCGGGTGATGAGGTTGCCCAACCCTGCTCTAATTTCTGAGCCCTAGCTCAGCTGAAATTACTTATTACACTACTCAAGACTACTTTTAATGACATTGACGATGGTTGTTAGAAATTACATATTATCACAATATTCTAAAGATACACAGTACAACAACAAAGTTATCGGGCGGTCAATTTTTTCACCTTTAAACAATTACATCGTTCGACTGGCAATGAGCTATATAAATTTTATGAAGCTTACAATAGATAGATAATTGGTATCCCTTAAATCAGTGATAATTTTCCACGATGCCTCACATAGAGACTATACGGATTGTCAATCAACTTTAACCGTTAATATAACTGCTAATAGAATTTTAAAATGGAAGTTTTTTGTGACAACTCTAGAGATAAATAACAGTTGCCTAACGATATTCCCATTTTGTGATAATTAAGCTCAGTTTGTAAGAAGACCTGGCTATTCGACCAGACTAATCAACTAATTGAAAAATCCAACAGGTTTCATTGTAGTTGCTGCATGTGTGATGACCTTTGAAGCGCGCGACAGCGCCGCAAAAGTGGTGCCTGCACGATTCCGCTTCAACCAGAGTTCAACTCTTAAATATGCGCGCTGTCAGCGGCCGCGTCGATCAACATCGAGTCAAACAACAAAATGGGATCATCAGTTAGGCCTATTCCGTATTAACAAGACACCGAGCCCAAATGCTCATGACATATCTCGTAAAGCGCTCACGGCGGAATTCGTCAAATTCTCGAGAAATTTGGGAGAGAAGGGGGTGCCGGAGCATCCGATAAAAAAAAGTCCGAGTGCGCCATCATTGGTTATGAAAAAGTCTCCGTCAAGACGAAAAACGTCAAAATTTGCAGGTTGTGCACTGCTGAATCCTGAACTTCTTCAGAGGCACGCTGTTTCAGTGGACAATCCTGGTTACAGTCCCCCAAGGGTCAGTGGAGAAAGTCTGGACAAAAAAACGAATGGCAGCCAAGTATCGATGGCAATGGACCTGTACATACCGAATAAAGGGCCGATTACACTGAAAATCAAAGACAGATCTGACACTGCTAGACGCCATCAGCTCCATCGGCAGGGTAAAATCGATGACATAGAAGATGAAGAAGCTAAAAAAGTTACATCAAGACGTAAGCCATATTCAGGTGAGATATTAATAATTACCTCTAACTTAAATTTACAAATTGACAAACCAGTTGAAACGCGTGTGAACCCATGCTTCACCTGCCTATCCAATCCAAGCATCTCAAGTTACCCGTGTAGGAATTGAGGCTTACGCCAACCAATGGCCTGCACTTGGTATGCGCATCACCAAGCTTAACAAAAGGCTTAAAGACTGCCCACGATTGGGGCGTATCCTGGATGGTATCTCGGGCCCAGTCATGGGATGTTTGAATGGCTTAGCGTATGCAACCGTTAATAGCCCATAATTGGGTACACGATTCTTCCCAATCTTCTCATATCCCTCTGTTTTGCGGTAGGGGGAAATATACACAAGGCTAATCGTGATGGAAGATTCACTAGGCTCGACGCGGGCGAATACACACCACTTCGAAATGTCCAGAACTGAAGCGTCGAAGTCATGGTACACGAGTAGACCAAGCCCATCGGAACCCCTTTTTTTCTCTCTATCTTCTTTCCTTGTCGCGTAACTCCGTATACACGAAAAATTGGATTCAAACTAGTGTGGTACCTAATGAGGATTTTCTTCTATCCATGTTTCAGATATTACAATTATTGGGGTGTTTCCCGAAAGTCTTCTTCCTTCCCGACGTTATTCATTCCATGGCAGTTCCAAAACACAAACGGAGCCTGGAATATCCTTAAGACAGCGGCTGTGTGATATTAAAATCTCTTTTTTCACATCCAAATTCAGCGTCCTAACCAACAAGTATTTTGCTTCCTCTTCGCCCCTCGAAATATCGGTAGATTCACTCCCAACATCTTTGATTTTAAAGTATTTAATGAGGCACTCTTCCACTGCTTTCTTTGGAATTTCCTCCTGCGCTTTTTTAAGCCACCAATAACCCTGTTCACTTTTATTCCCTCCCCTTCTTCCTTTTCTAGCCTATTCGTCACCTTATTCAACCAGTCAGTCAGATGAGCATTGCCAGGACTAGTTGTCCCCAGTGATTTTGTCTTTTCAAGCATCGAAACTGTTTGATTATGGCGCCAACGTAGCAAAATTATGGTATTTGAATTCAAATTCTGGTATCCAGATTAAAAGTGCCTTTTTCGGAAACTTTCAAATAAAACACATACAATCCTATTTTTTCTCTTCTTTGAACGTTCTATCAAACAAGCGGAATAGCTAGGAGTGGCACTGCCGATATCTGGAAGGATAAACTAGGTGAGGAATAAATATAATCTTCTTAATTATGTTCTTTAGCATTTTTCTTTGGAATATGCGTTTAAATGTTACGTAATACTTGAATAAAAACTAATTTGGTTTGAGTAACACTGATAATACGTCCCATTAATAAATCAACAAAAACACATTGTCTTTGGTAACGGTATCTCCCTTCCATTGAAAAATCACATATCTTCGAAAATTGTTCCCTCGTCCTCACTTGCTTCTTCCAAAAAAGTGGAAACATTGGGCTGCTCACTGGAATGCGATTGTAACTGCGAGGCTGGAACTGCTTCTTGATGTGGCCAGAGTGACTTCTTTGTCATTCGGGACAACATGTCTTTCGATGCCTTGAACTTGTAACATCCTCCAGAATCACGCATCTCCTGGTTGCTGAGAAGAATCCCATTCATCGTGGATGTAATAAGTCGATTCCTTGTTTTGGTTTTAACCAAGTTGACTTTTGAGAAAACTCTTTCACAATCAGCATTAGCATGTGGAATAGATAGGACGTTTAAGGCAAAACGAGCAACATTCTGAAAGATGATAGTTGCATCCAGCTTTAACCGAAGCATTTTATCCCAAAAAACGTCGGTTTCAAGAGTCCCCATTTCAACTTCAAAATCATGGGCCGGTATTCGAAGCCACTCATCATCGATCTTCTGGAAATCTTCTCGAGTACATGAACGTGGAACGAGTGACATGAGACTTACTAAACTGGGAGTTTTCTCTCTGGTGATTGACGAAAGAGCCTGCTGGGGTTTCAGGATGCTTATGGCTTGGAGGAGTGGATCTTCAAAATCAAACCGAGCCTTCACCTGAACGCTAGCCTGAACAAAAAAAGCTCGACATTTTTCTCGAAAGTATGTGACACATTCCTCAAACTCTCCTGATTTTTACGCCGGTTGTCTCTCTGAAAGTTTTTTTAAATTTTCCAGCACATCTACTCCCAAGTAAATTTGCGTCATAGACAAATACTCAGTGTCTTTTTTAGGATCAATAGCAGCAAGATCAGTAAACATGACGTATTTTCTATTCATATAGCATAATAATAAATCCATGAAAAGCTCCTCCATGACTGGATAAACATCAGTAATGACCACTTTATTTGATTGCAAATATTGGTTAGCCTGCGTAAATTTCGGCAGTATCTACTTCAGAAAATAGAAATATAATTTCGTGAAAGGATCACTCAATTCCCTATGAATCGTTTCTGCTATGATTCGTTTACTGATGAGCCGCTTTTCTGTAAAATATAGCTGAAGTGCTGGCCACTGATCCAACAACCTTTGAACTACTACAACCAATGACAGCCAACGGGTCTGGGAGGGATGCAGTAATTTGTGAATCTCTGTCTCGCAGAATATCTGGAATTCTACAAATTCTGACTGACGTTTACAACTGGAGGTGAAATAATAGTTGATATTGCGTGCCAAATTCTCTGCTATTCTTGGTAGTTCCTCACAAGCAGTGCTTGCACAAATATGTAAAGAATGACACAAGCATTTTGAGATAATTATTCCCGGAAGATCAGTTTTCAGGCGTGATGCAACAGAATTGTTCTTACCCATCATTACACTGCAGCCATCCGCCCCAAATCCTATGATATTTGCTTTGGGTATTTGTTGCTCGTCGAAACTCAACATAATGCACTTATAGAGTCGTTCAGCAGTGGCAAATGTCACTTTACCTGGGACCAAAACATCACATAAATTCCAAAACTTTGTAGCTATACGCTCTGTCTCCTCATCGTAAAATCGAACCACAATACCGCTACATTTCTTAGTTGAGATATCCGTAAATTCATCGCTGAGTACACTAAATTTAGTGGCTTTCAATTCATCTCCCAGTTTTTTTTTTAGCTGATGCACCAATGACATTCAGGGCAATTGCTCGTCCTTTCGTGTGTTTGAGGTTCATGTTTTGAACGATTTTTGAATCTGTAATCAAATTTTTCATCAGGTCTGTCAAATGATCCAGTGCACTAAATGGCATATGGTGTTCAGTCAGATATCCTACGAGGCCTATTTCTGCAACTTTAACAGCGTCAGCCAACTGTAAAGGAATATCACGATCTCGAGTGAAAAATGAAGTCATAGGATTGATTGATTTGATGGAATTGCAATTGTCCTTGTGTTTGGAAGATTGTAGATGAGACTTCAACACAGATATATCAGCAGTTAATTCATTCGTGCACATTGTGCATTTAGCCTTGAATGCGTCACTCGAATGCTTCTGAAGCCACGACTGAAACTCTGGCATATTCAACCATGCTTCACGAAACTTTTGAGGGATTTTGACTTTCTTCGGAAGTAGTTTTGTCTTTTTAGATGGATGAGCGATCACATCTTCTTCTTCTGCCATGATCTGAAAGTCTGAAAGTGGAAAAATCATAACTTGGCATATGCATATCGACTCCACTTAGAGTTGCACATTTAATCACGTACCTCACTCGACAACAAATTACCCTGACGACAAATAAATTACTCTTCAGTATTCAACTCTTGTCCTGACACTAAAAACCTTTGAAATTTTGATTCTGGTGCAAGCAATAAACAACGAAATGGATTAGACTAGCAACCATGATGAAAATAAATGGAGAGACGCCCCCGGTGCAGAGATTTGATGAGAATGTATTCGTTGTTGCGATTGGCTCAGCTTCTGGCATCGTCTCAGGTTATTGGTCCAGTACTAAGATTTCACGAGCCTGCTTTACCGATTACCAGTGGCTCAATCCTAGCGAACTGCACCATATTTCAGTTCAGGCCAGTTTTTCGTATCTATGCAAGATTTTTTTAACGGCGATTTTCAAAACATGCGAGGCGATGTGTTCTATATATTTAGTATCGGTGAATAGTAATAAATGTAGTTCCATAAATTGAAAAAAGATCGATGACGTTATTTATGAACAAAAATGCTTACAATAAAACCTAATATCAATCATGCTAATGTCCATATACATGATAATGCTAATATTATTTTAATACCAATGTTATAGCTATCGGTGGAAATTCATTGACAACACCTAACGTTATTGTATTGTAACGTGGTATTTTACCAGTTACTGGTTCTCGACCGTTCCGCGATTTTAGAGACTTCCACCAGACGGGAAGTCACCTTCAATGGCGAGAGTTTTGAGAAGAGAGGAGAACATAAGTTTGATTATATTTTGTTTTATTTTTAAATTATGCGCCACCGCGTTCCATTCTGAGGACATCGACTAGGATTACTGGACGCCGAGAGATGTCATCGAACTCCTAATTTCTGATGATAACTGGATTTCGATGTGGCCGACAATGGAGCCACAATCCCGCTAGCAATTACCACGGAAGTGACGTATTACCAGAACACGAGGCGGATTGGCAATTAATGGAAAAATAGGATAAGGATTATTGTGGAGGAGAGTTACTATTCTCTCAAGGTAGTCTGTAACGCGGAAAATTATTTTATATTTATTAGGCAGCGCTGAGAATATATTATCATTTATGATAATTAAAGAAATTG